CATTTTAGGGAGTAAAGAAGGACAAATGGTTGCAAAGCCTATAGTTTTTCCTTCATTGGGAGTGCAACAAATTGGAATAAAGAAAATTCCTACGCTCCCTTAAATACTCTCTGAGTCCCCTCCATGATGTCACTACTGTCCCTTCCCCATTGGTCCTGCTGTAGACAGTGATTTGGTTTGTGGGTAATGCAGTCAACACAAAGATCAGAAGTTCCCTTGAGTTACAGATCTAGGATCAGTATGACCTCCGTATACTTCAAATCTCGCATGTTAAGGGAATGTGATCTGTGACCAGCAACACTGACCCACACCTGACTTGAGTGTTTGGTTGAGACCGAGGTCTTAAAAGTTCAAAAGGTGAAAGGTCATTCCAAGACCAAACAGGAATGTGCAATAAAAGTTACAGCTTATTCAAACTCAGTTGATTTGGTGGTTTTGTTTTATATCTGCATTATAAGCTAATGTCACATCTGGGACTGAGCATCTGGCCACACATGTATACATTTTAATGACCCACTTCAGGCTGCTATGTCCTCTGCCTGGCCTCTGCATTGCCCTACTTCTATTTGCTGCAGTTAATAAGACACTGTTTCTAACAACCTCAGGAAGGACTGTAATCATGTCTCAACTACTCTTGTACTTATATCAGAAAGCCTCCAGCTTGATAAGACCCTTACCTACTGCGGGATTGGTGTGCTTTTATTCCGCCTTATTTTCTGTGTGTAGTCAAGTCAAGAATCTTTATTGTCATTATGCATAGCACAACAAAATTTTTTCTGGCAGTTCTCGGCATAAAAGACACACATATTATTTACATAACACACAATTATATAAGTCAATATAAAAATATGAACAAATAAAAAGGGATGTATGGGACCTAATCAGGTTAGCAGCATGTTAGCAGCAAGAGTGTAGTAACATTATAAGGTGCAGCTCAGTGCAAATCTCAGTCTTTAGGAAGAGGTGTGAGCATGGGTGTGTGTCTGCAGAGGTCCAGTGTTCTGTGTCTGTCCATGGGGGGGAGGTTGTGTGTGTAACTGGGGGTTGGGGGGTGACTGATTTCACAGCTCTGGGGAAGAAGCTGTGTCTCAGTCTGTTTGTTTTAGTCTTTATATTCCTGTACCTTTTCCTGGAGGGAAGAGGCACAAACAGACCTTTGCCTGGGTGGGTGGGGTCTGCAGCAATCCGTCCACCCCTCCTCTGGATCCAGTCAGTGTATATTGAGTCCATATCCAGAAGAGGACTCCCTACAATACCCTGAGCTGTTCTCACCACCTGGGTCATGTCCTTTCTGTCCTGTGCAGTGCAGCTCCCGTACCACACTGTCGCACTGAGACAGAGGATGCTCTCTACTGCCGCTCTGTAGAAGTTTGCGAGCAACTGAGAGGAGAGACCAGCATGTTTCAGCTTCTTGAGGGAGAGGAGAGACCAGCATGTTTCAGCTTCTTGAGGAACAAAAAGCCTTTGTTGGGCTTTCTTCACCAGATAGGATGTGTTCAGAGACCAGGTCAGGTCAGGTCAGATGTGATGTGGATGCCCAGGAACTTGATGTTATCCACTTGCTCCATCACCTCCCCGTGTATGAGAAGAGGAGCATATTTTGTCTTCCTGGACCTCCTATAATCCACAATGACTTCCTTAGTCTTGTTGGTGTTCAGGACAAGATTGTTATCTGAACACCACCTTGTCAGGTGCTGGATCTAAAGAGCAAAGATGGAATGGCGGGCCATTTTCTTTCCACCTCTGGTCTGCCTTGGGAGGTAGTACCAGAGGCAAAACAAAGGGGAGACACATTCTCTGTAGAGAGGCTGAGCCTGCAGTCTGGAACCAAGTGCTATATTTTGATAACATAATATGTGCTTGACACCATCACCAGTATCTCAAGTCTGCACGGCACTCTGCCTCAAACGGTTCTTGGCTTCTCTCTAACTTACAGTTCAAAGCATTCCTGATGTCACGAACGCGTTGACTGCAGTTATTACTCATGACGTTCACACACAGCAAGAAACCAATTTTGCATAAAGCAAAATAAGTGCTTGAAGAGCCAACAAAACCACCACCAAACTACATCTCTCCCACCACTGTTGTTTTGGCTTTAGGGTAGCAGTGCAAAATTTACATCACAGTTGATGGAGAGTGATGTCACATCTCGCCTCTGGTGCAGAATGCCAGCCTGCTGTCTGAATTCACAGCCTGATTATACGGTCCTTAGCTTGATTTGTATGAACAGCACAAGGGTGGGATATTGGCGACCCTTTGGAACGGCAGTAGTGCGGGATCTCAGTGTAAAAGCAACTATAGAAACACAATGTTCCCTCTCAGTGGGTGTGGCATGGTCACAAGGGTCACGGTGAGAGATTAAAGAAGAAATCAACTGAGCTAATTATGTGCACAAAAAAAATTTCAAAAGACAATTCCATATTTTTTACAAGTCTTTATGTTGTATTCATTTTTATAGAGGTTGATGTAATTATAACAGAAACCAACAGGCAAGGACGAG